GCCTCGGCTTGAGGAGATTCTTGAGTGCAAAATGAAGCCCCGAAAGTCTTCTTTCCAATAGTGGTGGCCTCATAGCAATCAAATAATCCACCATTTCAACAACCACAAAAGGTAATAGAAAATTCTTATTCTAAAACTACCAAAAAAGTTTAGAGACAAAAAGCAGCAGAATCACACGTTTTAGCTAGAAGTGTGACCAATGGAGCTATTTAGACTAGCAACCAAACATGCTAAATCTAGATTGCTCAGAAATGTTCAATTTAGAAAGCCATAATAAAAAACAATACCAAAAAAGGATATGTACAAAACGGATTAGATACAAATTACGGGAAAAAGAAATATCAAACCTTTTATTGGATGACTGGGTGGGTCGATTGGAGTTCTCCAGCATTAAAAACTAAAAAGAAGAGGATTCTCTCCAGTCCAAATCTAGACAAAAGAGGCGATGTCCGGATCCCGTTTTGATGATTCGAATCGTTCACTTTTTTTGACCTCGTCGTGTATATTATTCACACAAAAAAATATATCGATATAAGAATTGTAACATTTATTTTATCGTGTTTGTCTTTAAAAAAAAAAGAAAAAGAAAAACACACTTACTATTTATTTTTTAAGAGACAAACACAATAAAATGAATATGTTACAATAACCTAATTTTCATGTGGATGCTAGATACAAAGAGGCTTAAAAAAAAAACCATTTGGCATGGACTTGCTACACTTTTACCCTTTGAGAGGCTCCCCCCCCCGCCCCCACCCCACGCCATGTAGGCCATGTGGACAACTTATCATTATTATTTCCCCACAATGAGGATTCCAATAAACGGAGATGGCTATGTTTATGACTTATTCAAACCAGCTTCCCCCCCCCCCAAAAAAACAAAAAAAAAAAAAAAAAAAAGCCTCTACATTTTATCAATGAGAGAGAAAATTTTACTTGTTAACTCTTTCGGGGCGCAGTGAGGATAAAACAGCAAAGCTCTTCCAAAATTTATTTTGAAGTTTCTTCACTTCAATGCAATCTCCATTTACAAGATCCAAATAACAGAGATTTTGCATCAAGTTGGGCTTCAAAGATTTTGGGCCATGGAAAATATTGCTTTATTATCATATGACTTAGCCGCCAATCTAGTAAGATCCAAGCCATCCAAGCCAATGCCTTGAACTAGTGTAGTAGGAAATTCATATATCAGTGAAATGTGGCAAGGTTACCCCCCAAATTCTGACAATTGTATGTGTTCCTTCCACCCACTAAAGTATCTGTTCCTTCCACCCATTAAAGTGACAGGAACCACTAACTTAAAGGCACTTGTGTGCAAGCAAAAGTTTATAGATAAGAAATTCACAATTTTGCAGAAATACAAATAAAGAACATTATAGATATTGGATTAAGTGTAAAATACTTGGGGACAACAACAGAAATGAATGGAATGCACACTCATAGCTATCCCTAACTTGTAGGATATTCATATACACTCACCACCACCAAAAGGGAAGGCATAAAGGATAAAATATTTGAGAAGCATAATTGGTATAATCCATTTAATGATTAAAAATCCCAACTTCCTCCCTCCAAGACGAAGCAATTCTGCAAACTACAACATCAATGGATTAGGGCTTTGAATACATACACAATCAATGAATTAGGGCTTTCAAACTAATGAGCGAGAAAGGAAAAAGTGGGGAAAACGTATGAAACCACTAAAATCAAACCCATTTAGGACATCAAACCCATAAAACTTTAGAAATCAAACCACTTCAACCAAACCCATTTTTCGAAATCAACACGAAATTAAACTGAAGAAATCATAAAAAACCCCGGAGCAAGATTCAGAAAGCGGAAAATAGAGAAAGTGGGAGAGAGAGAGAGAGAGAGAGAGAGAGATACTGAGGGCGAGAGAGCGAGAAACAGAGAGAGAGAGACAGAGACAGACCGAGACCGAGAGAGCAAAAGAGAATCTGTGAGGATGCGACGATGCCGGTGGTGATTTGCGGCGGTGGAGGTGGCGATGGCGAGCGACGGTGGTCTGCGCTGAGGTAAGGTGGGGTGAGGTTTGGTGGTCACAGAGAATCTGGATGTGAGAGAGAACAATTGGATATCTAAACAAAGAACAGGGCGTCAATATTAATTCATTTTCCTCTAAAATGAATTATACTTTAGGCCATGATTGATTTGGTGGATTAGAGGATGGGGATTGAAATTATTAATTTATGAGCCTAATTATTCTATGTTTGTTTTAACACTTTGGTTTAGGATTATTAATCTAATGGATAATTAATTTAACAAATTTGTAAGATTATTAGTAATGGGGTAGGGATGGGAGTATTAATCCAATGGATATTAATCTAATTGGATAGTGAATACCACACTAATTTAATAGGATTATTAATACTTCAATATTAATCTTGTGAATCAAACATGACCTTAGTGACCAAACTAGTTATTTGTCGGCAAATAGTAATATATAATGACTAAAAATTTTGTGGCCAACTCTTAAGTTCTAGCTATTAAAATATTAGTCACCAAAACTTGTAATTTGGCGACTAGTTTTTTTTTTGTCAAAAAAATTGAGTAAACCACGACTAAATTTATTTTCGTCACCAAAAGTGAATATTTGCCAACTAATTTCTTTTGTAGCCAAAGAGTAACAATAAAAATATGGCTGTTATTTGGCGACTGAACTTTTTTTTGTCAGTAATAATTAGTATATGACGACTAAAACCCCAATAGCCTAAAATCTAGACTTACGCCGACTAATATTTTTTTAGTCACCAAAAAGTGGCATATTCAGCTACAAAATTTTTAGTCGTCAATAAGTAATATATCTCGACTAAAAAAAATAGTAGCTACAACCTAAACAAACACTGACTAATGCATTTTTTAGTTGCCAAAAAGTTAACTTTTAGTGATTAAATTCCTTTTACTCGATAAATTTGGTTGCCAAAAATGTAAGTTATTGTAATGGTTCCACATGATAGAATCTTAGTAGGACTCTAATTCATCTTCCTAGAATCCTACTAGGAGTAACTTCCAAAATGATAATGCCTATCTTTTAGCACCCTAACAACACAAATCCAAGTGAAGCATTCCAATAAAACTGGCAACCAGACCAAGCAAACTATCTCCCCAGTTGCATACCGTTTACATAACTACATCGACTAAGAGCATCTCCAACGGTAGTAGGCATTCTATCTATCTAAATATTACTATTAAGTATATATTTTATTTTGCCTATCAACTGTTTTATGTTTTTACTCCAACCATGTTCTTTATTTTAGCTATTTATCCAAATACTACTAATTTTATAGAATTCCACGTCGACAAAGATGGAGGGAAATGATCCTAATGATTGAATATATTTTGCCTAGCGTTGAAGGCTAGCTACATGTAGCTAGTGAATATGAGTTAAGCCAAAATACCTAATCATATGCCTAGTGCATTGGAATTGAAAAAAGTGAATCACACTAGGCATTTTAACTAACAAATATTATATGCCTAGTGCATTGGAGATGCTCTAAGTCTTGCTAACTTTAACTAGTTCAACCAGGCAAAAGCCATAATTTCTTAGCATAAAAAGGATTTGTTGCGCACCACAAAGCATATTACTTTTATTTTATTGTGCAAACTATAATTGACATTTGTAACTATTACCACTAATTAATATAATACACATCATAAATATGTGTAATTTTTACTATAAAGAGTCATAATTATCTTATGATTTGCCTTTTTAAATGTGTATATTATAAATTTTCCTTAACAGATTAATAGGAATTAAAATATTGAAATTTGAAAGTAGGGGAAAATAAAAATAAGAAAGAAGACGAAAGAGTAGGTGGTTATGCAACTATTATCTTAAATGAGTGTTTGGGGGCAACTTTAAACAAACCAAATATATATATATATATATATATATATATATTTTGTGTTATTTTTAAAAACATTATATCAAAAAAAAAAAAATGAGATCCATCTTATATGGACAAATCTATATATATATTCAAAAAAAAAAAAAAAAAAAGCCCAAAAAAAACAACAAAAAATAATCACCAAATCAAACAACCCCACAACACCCATATCTAACACAAATAAAAAAGAGTTTGGCTTCTTTCAAGTTAGAAATTTAATTTAAGAGAGCATTTGGGTCATTGTGAGTCTAATCTTGGTGATTTGAACCATTCACATTTTAGGATTCGTTGAGAATAATAAACATGTAAAAATTCAAGATAATTAGATTTCGGTAGTTATATATTTGAATCACATTTATCTTAAAAAAATAAATAGCTATTCTTGAAATTACATTTGTCGTCTATTTTTTTTAAATCAAATGTGAATCAAAAATATATCTTCCAAAGTCCAATCATCTTGATTTTTTACGTGTTTATTCTTCTCCATGAATTTTAAAAAGTGAACGGTTCAAATCATCAATATTATGCTCACAATGGGCACACTAAACTCAAATGCTCTCTCAAATTAAATTCTCAATTTGAGAGAAGTCCAATCCAATAAATAATACATGAAAGACTAACCAAAACCACCAGTTATTTTTACATATTTGAGCAATTTTTATTCAAATAGTCTAAGCAAGTAACAGAATGCACGAGAGACCAAAGAAAAGCAACAAGAATAATATAAATAAATTGGGATTACATGAGCAGTAGCATGCATGTGGAAGAATGTTGAGAGTATCAACAAATGCAAACAGATCAATGAATTTTCTGTGATTATTCACTCACCAACGAATGAGAGAGGACTTACGATAAGAATGCACCAAAAGAACGAAGGGAAAAAAAAGTTCATACAGATTAAAATACGAAAACTTAATTGAAGAATTATGATGATAAAATCATGCAACTAAAAATAATGATAAACACATAGATGAGGAGACAACAACCTGTAAACAAAAACCCTCAATCGGACCAATCCCAAATCCTCAGTCAAATCCAAACCCATCTTCCAGTGGCATCGATCTTGCAAAGTGTTGCAGAGAGAAGCATCGGATCAATCATTAATGCAGGCCCGACTTTGCCCAAAACCAGCAAAGCCACCGCTTTGGATCTCTCAAAAAAAATGAGTGAAAAAATGAGCTCAGATTTTTTTTTTTATAGATATTACGCTAGCTCAAAAATAATAATAATAATAATAATACAATAATAAATAAATAAATCGCATCTGAAATTAATGGAAAGTAATTTCTCAAATGTATGATTTGTGTATATAATATGATTAGTTAAGTAAAGATCCTGATTAACAATTTTGTATTTTAAAATGTGGGAATGGTAATGTTCAACTGATATTTTGTTATAATTTATTTATTTTTTATCTAGTACTTGAGTTCGGAATATTTTGATATTTTTCTTCTTATAAACTTTGTTATATATTTAAGTAAATTTTAATCATTATATATAACATTTTTGTAAGAACTATAAAAATAAATAAATAAAAAGTGAATACGTAATTTTTTATCATAATTTTTATTTTAAATGTAAGAAAGGTAACAAATCAAAAGTCGGCTTTAAATCCCAAAAATGTCATAGTTGACCCTACGTGAATGCCTCTTTCATGTCCCATGGCTCCGTTTCACTATCCTATGTGACATGTGTTCGTTGGTTTCACTACGCAAACGCCCCCCTTCTTCGACAATAACCTTGACTTTCAAGTCTCTTCCTTTGTGAAGAATACCCTTTCCATTTCTCCCTCTCTTCTCTAGTCTCTTTCTTCTAATATCATGGCTAAAATTTTGGTATAACGACGATACAATGTAATCATTGATACGTGATATCATCAACCAATCATAAATATTACAAAGGAGGATAAACCCAAGTTCGGATCCTCTATCGGGTTTCTTTGCGAGGCTCCCTATGGTACTTCAAAAAGGACATCATTTTTTCCCATTTTTAAAAATTAAAAAAAAAAAAAAACTTTGGCCTTTACGCCACTTTTCTTTTCTCTCTTAGTTGGAGAGACCACAAGCACAACCCCAAGCAACTTATAAACAGAGAGATGAAAAAGAGACACACGATCGAACAGTGAGGCGATAGTAGTGGCAACTCCGATCAAGACCCCCTCTCTCTCTCTCTCTCTCCCTCTCTCTCTCTCTCTTTATCTCTATCTCTCCTCGCTGCTGCCATCAAAGAGGAAAGGCCTGATTTTGTTTCCACATACTGATTTAGGTTGATTGGTTTCTTGGGTTTCTTCTATTCTTGTTTGCTTAGATTGTTATTTGTGGAAACACTTGGAAAAAAAAAATCTATAATAGCTAGGAAATTGTGGGTTTTGGAAGAGAATTGTTGTATGTGGGAAGTAAACTAATTTGTTAAATTAGGGGAAAACAAGAAAGGAGAGAACTAGGATTTGGTTTCTACCTTGCCTACCTTTGGATTGAGATCTGGGTACATATTAGGTTTGTTTGGTCCCCTCCAAAACCTTAGATTCTCAATTGTTTGACCAAACAATCATCTTAGTTTCTTCAAAACATATTTTGGACCCTTTTTTTCTTGATCGGTGCCGCAGCTGTCGCTACTATTACCATCGCTGCTGTCGTCATCGCCTCGTTATCATCGTTGCCTCCTCATCCGATTTCCTGTCTCTTCTTCGTCTCTCTGGTGTGGTCTCTCAAACCTTTGAGAGCTAAGAGAGAAAACAAAAGAGGGAAAAGGAAAAAGATTTTTTTTATTTTTAAAAAAAGGCAAAAACGACGTCGTTTTTGAAGTACCACAGGGAGCCCCGCAAAGAAATTTGACCGAGGATCTGGACTCGGATAAACCCCTCTACATAAGTATGACTACTTATCCAACTCAACTCACTAACACAACCGTATAATAGGGTACCTTATACTTACATGAAAAGTTATACACTACAAGAAAAAGCAGATTTCGCGACTAAAAATGGCTTTTTCGTCGCTGAAAGTAGCAGAATTGGCTACTAAAACAGTTTAGTAGCCAAATGTAGGGGTTTTAGCGACTAAAAGTCAATTTAGTCGCCGAATGTGGGGGTTTTAGCGACTAAAAAAATTTTAGTAGCCAAAAGTGAAGGTTTTTGGCGACTAAAAACATTTAGTGGCCAAAAGTATAGGTTTTGGCGACTAAAAAATAGTTTGGTCGCCGATTATAGGTGTTTTACCGACGAAAATCAATTTCGTAGCCAAAAGTGAAGCTTTTTGGCTG